TCAAAGAAACTCTCTCTCTCTCTCTCTCTCTCTCTCTCTCTCTCTCTCTCTCTCTCTCTCTCTCTCTCTCTCTCTCTCTCTCGCGCGCGCGCGCGCGCATATACACACACCGATACACGCGGTGGAAGGGTGCACACAGGCTGCAAGGCAATTGCAGAACGAGGGAGGCACGTGGGTGGATGCACAACTCACGTGTTTGGATGTACGCAGCACACAGGTGAGAGCACAAGGCACGGTTTTCTGTAGGCCCCACCAAATTATCCGCTCTTCAGTCTAAATTGTTCGGTCATGTGACATAGCGCACAGTGCCTCCGTTGCACCTACAAGAATACATGTCCATGTCGGTTCACAACATGTCAGATTCTAATCTACCCGTCCAAGAAGCTCCAACAAGAATCTGAATCGCTTCGCAGTTTCCCTAACCTAGGCATGACTTTCTAAGTTGGAAAAAAAAACGAAAAAAAAAAACGAATGTGATTTTGGTTTTGGCGGGAACCCGGTAGGGCCTGCCCATTTTGGTTCGCAGATAACCAAATAGCAGCAATATGACTTACCAAGTCAAAGGAGTAATATTACTAATTTAGTTACAAATGACAGATGAAGCTGAGAAGGAAGACCAAGGGTAGCAAGAGCAGCAACACAACAAGATGGGATCAAGAACGGAGCCAAAACGATAATGACAGACGTTCAGTGCAGAACAACTCTTTGTGCAAACTTGATTAGCAGTCAACGTGGACAGTACTCTTTCCAGCCGTTGTCTTTCCTTATCTGTCTTCGTCTTTTCTTTTGTATACTTGCACAGAAGCCATGCTAATCTTCTCTCTATCATTCCAGTTTTAACAGATGTCTTCGTCTTCCTCTTCATCCTCTTGACTCTCCTCTATCCCTGCTGCTCTTCCTTTCCATCTGCCAATAACTATACTACCCTGCTGCCACAGAGGCAGAGGCAGATCCTCATTCTGAACCAGATTACCATCCGGGATACTGACTTTTCTTCTTCTCTATACAGCTAACGCATGCAAAGGGCCCCGCGTGGGACCAAGCAGAAACCTGGCCAGAACCGCACAGGGCCAGCGGGACACCAATGGGGCGGGGGAAGGGGGGGGCCGGTACTGGGTGTGGAAGCATGGGGAAGCACCAGGCCGGGGATCGAAGCATGCTGACTCTGCTGAGGGCTGGCGAGCGAGGGGGCAAAGCGGAGCCGGAACGCTGGCGGACGCGGCCCGCGGGCAACGGGAGGCCGGGCAGGGTGCCAGGGGGCTGAGGGGTCGACACGAGAGAGAGAGAGAGAGAGAGAGAGAGAGAGAGAGAGAGAGAGAGAGAGAGAGAGAGAGAGAGAGAGAGAGAGAGAGAGAGAGAGAGA